CTTTGACTTTCTAGGTTTTGTGTATTTGCATACAGATTTTAGAATATAAATGTCAATTTCTACTATTAACTTTCCTTGGACTTAAATGTTCTCTATTTCTCATCTCTTGTCATTTTAAATAGTCTCGATGAGACAGAAAAAGGCTGTTCTTTTCATCCCAGCTTTCTGACAGTTCTGCCACTTAAATAATGACCTAGTCTCTCTTAACTAAAAATGAAAAACTTCATTTTCTTTTCCAAAGACTAATAGTCTTACTGTCACTGGAAAATTTGCATTTAGGAGCAGTGCTTCTGAAACGCCTTGAGTTACTATCATTGGCAGTGTCCTAAGCAGTCCCTTCAACTTTCCAAGACCCTTTAGCCTTCTTCCTACATGTGCTCCTATTTTGTGCCAGTAGCGCCTCCTGGGTATTTCTAAGGCAGATTTGATACCGTCTTCTGTCCAGGCTGCTGTCGCAAAACGCTTGAATGGAGCGGCTTACGAGCAGCACCATCTTATTTCCCATAGCTGGAGGCTGGTAGCCAAGCCATTTGGAATCAGGCAGCGCCCCGTTGTCCGCTGCACAGTCGGCTCCTTCTGCTTGTGTCTTTACCTGGCAGAAGAAGCCAATGGGTTGCTGCTACCCTCTTTTCTGAGGATGCTAATGGAGCTGCACCCTAAAACCTCGTCACCAAGGCTCCACGTCTCAACAGTATCATCTTAGAGGTGAAGATTTTGATATGACTAATAGAGGGCAAGAATTCCACCTATAGAAGACTCCATTTGACAACTGCTTGCCGTGGTCTGTGTGTTAGGAATGAAGCCGGACGAGCAGGTTGGGTCTAAATAGTGATTCTTCTCTTTCATCCAATCTTGTCTCATGCTCTTCATCTCACACTTTGAAGCCTCAGAAGGCTTGGAAAAATTACTGTGAAGTTATATAAAATTCTTTTACATAGAAAATTGTTTGCTTAATTTGCTTTTTATATGCAGAAAAATTAGGGGGATAGGTGTGCACGGAAAGCAGAATGCAGTACAGAAGTTAGATGTGAATAAAGGCAGATGCATTGGATACTGGACTGAAGGTGCGCTCATTTCAGAATGCAATACTTTTAGGGTAACGGGTGAGCTCACCGCGCTAATTTCTGAAGCACTGGTAAGGCGTGGACTTGTACTGAATAAGAAGCTTAGGTGATTCATCAAGAACCCTGGTGTGCTGGAAGAGCACACCCCGCCCACCGCGTGGCACTTGCAGAGGAAGGAGCGGAGCCCCCAGCGGGGACGGCAGCGTGCGGGGCCCTCTGCCGGGCAGCCGCCTTCCAGAGGCTGATAGCAGGCCCTCGTCCTGGACTCTGGCCCGGGGAAGCCTTGTGAAGCCCTGAGAGCCCAGAACAGGCAAGAGCAGGCAAGAGCAGTGCAGCAGGACACACGGAAGCCAAAACAAGGCGGTGCAGGTCCTAAAGGGCCCAGCCTCAGTCCGGAAGTGCAGTGCACGCACGGGAGGGCCAGTCACACTTGCTGTGATTCTGCTTTCTAAACTTTCTTAAGATTCTGCTCCCGTGGGAAGGCGAAGTAGCACTCCAGCTGGCAGCGCAAAGCTCTCGAGGCAGTGAGCGAACACGGAGCCTGTGGCGGCTGCCTTCTCCTTGTGGAGGTGACACACGAGAAGACGGTCTCTCACAAGCCAGTCAGGCACTCAGCACAGCACAGCGCAAAAGCAGACGCTTGGCTCCATGGACGCGATTACAGACGCAGAACAGCCCTGGGCATCTTCAACCGGCTGAAGCGCGCTCTGCAGGAGAGATGGCCGCGCTAGCGCGGGGTGCCGGGAAAGCTGAGCATCCACCCGCAGAAGAGTGAATCCAGGCCTACGTCTCCAGCCCTGCACAAAACCAAACAAATGGATCAAGATCTAGATATAAAAACAGGAACATTGGACTGGGTCTATAGCTTGGTGGCACAAGTGCCCGCCAGGCAAGCGCAAGGTCCTGAGTTAGATTCATTCACAGGACAAAAAAAAAAAAAAAAACAACCTAAAAATGAACATGGAATTTATGAAAGATAAAAATAGGTCAAACTCTGAAACCATAGGCACAGGCTATGACTTTTTTTTTTGAACCAGGGATTGAACTCAGGACCTTGCACTTCCCGGGAAGGCACTTACACTGCTGAGCTCTCTCCCCAGCCAGGATAGGACTTTCTGAACAGAATCCAAATTGCATAGTAAAACCCAGGAATGAACAAATGAGATTACATAAAATGTAAAAGCTTCTGCACAGCAAGTAAACAATCAATAGAATGAAAAGATAACCTACAGGATAAGAAGAAAATTTTGCCAGCAACTCCTCAGACCAAAGATTAATATCTAGAATAAAGAACTTAAAACTCAGGCTCCTAAAAGTAAGTGGCCCAGTCAAAAAAGTTGGCAGCCTAAGTGCATATACTTCTTGAAGAAGAGGTGCCAGTGGCCAGCAAGCTTCGGCCATCCTCGTCCTTAGGGACATGCAAATCGGAGCAGCACTTGGGAGTCTGTCTTACTCCAGAAGCAACGACCACTGTCAAGAACTCAAAATCCAACCCACACTGGCAAGATCGGCATGGGTGGGGGGTGGGGAGAGCCTGGGAGGGAGGCCTTCCGCCTTCTTGGTGGGAGTGGAAGCTAGTGCAACCACTGTGGAAAGTCTTCAAAAAAAACCTAAGCATAGGAATTCCTTTGACCTAGCTATCCCTTTTCTGGGTCTCTTTTCGAAAGAGTTAAAGACATCATATTTAGTGTTATATTCACACCCGTGTTTGCGGTAGTGCAACTTACAATATCTTAGTCTTGGAAGTGTCCTGAATGCCCATCCGTAGATGCATGCTAGAGAAAATGAAGTATGTGTACACAATGGAGTACTAGTTGGCCATGGAGAAGGGTAAGTTAGAGTCCTTTGTAGGAAAATGGATGCTCCTCAAGTCCATAACATGAAGTGAAACAAGTCAAACCCAGGGTAATATTGCATGTTTTTTCTTATAAGACATACCCAAAGCATAAAGACTTTAAAAGGACAAAATAAGAGATAATAGCTGGAAACAGGGAGACAGACTTTGTGAAGCAAGGGAGGGTATCGGGGAAGGGAAGGGTGGGAGGGCAGGGCAGGGCAGGGCAGTGAGAAGGGCCAAGAGTCAGTGTGCACACACACCATTTCCTCAGGGGAATGCATTCACTGTGTATTACAAATACCCACAGATAGAAGCTTGAGGAGACAGAATGGGGGGACTGGCGCTGCTTCCTGTGCAGCCTCCCTGGACACCAGCTCAGGGCATCCAGGCCCCTGCACGTGGCATGGCGGTCACGGGAGGCCTTTGATCTTTTGAGTTCCCAGGTACATGGGCATGGTTTGAGCTCATCCACCTTCCTTTTGGTGGTCAGACGACTTAGACAGGTGGTCGGACATGTGCAGTCACTGACATGTGCTAGGTGAAGACATGAACCAGTTCTTTTTAAGCAGGCATTCTACCAACTTGACAGAGGCAGCTTTGTAAAAATAACAATTTGTATATGGTCAGAAACTTGAAATCTATGGAGCTAAGCTGGAATCGGAATGTGTTACTAGTCTGATACTTAAAGAGAAAATGTGGTGTAAAAACTTGTCACTTGTGTGCCAGTTGCAGGTCAGTTTTGCTTCCTGTGGGACAAGAGTCAACATCGACAGCTCTCAGGGTAGAAAATAGGACAGAGATGCTTAGAACCAAGAAGTGTAAACTTGGACAGAATGGGCCATGAGGCCCACCTGTGCTACAGGACTGGCCTGTGTCCTGCCGGCTCAGGACACCCTCAGGCGCACCCAGGAAATGATGCCGAGAACAGGAGCAGCTGGCTGTCACTTGCTAAGTCAGTAGTTGGGGACAATGTGTGCCGTGCACTGAACTAAAAGCTGGTGCTTTTGAAAACTACTGAGACTTGGTAGTAGGACACGCTACGTACGTGCGCTATGTAGGAGCATGGCGTTCAAAAGGTGAAGAGATGAGTGTGGGGCTGCTAGTCGGGAAAACTGCAGACCCTCTAGGTGAGCTTTCACGGCCCACAGAAATTGGTGTCCATTTGAAGTTTAATTATAT